TTAACTCTTAACTTTTATAAAGAATATCTCTTTAGATTTGAGACTTTAGTCTTTGCAACTTTACAGATCTTCTTTCTGCACCAAGAGCTTGTAACACTCCAAAGAAAAAGGAAAAATTGAAATCGCATCATATGACCCCTTTAACATTACTTACAATATTTATTCAATGTCTCAGTGTTTTTTGTTGTTGTTTTTTTTCAGTACAATGAAAGTCATTTGGGTCCAGTGTTGTTTTAAACCGCACTTTTATTATACAGACAAAAACAGTTTAAACATTCTTTAAAAAATCTTTTATGTTCCGCAGAAGAAAGAATGTCAATCAGGTTTGGAATGGCATAAATGTGAGCAAAAAATGAGAACTTTTATTTATGGGTGAACATTCCCTTTAAGTTAGTTGCTTTCCTACTTTTACCTCCCCCAATACTGAATGTATGCACATGCATACACCAGAAATATACAATTACCTGTGTTGAGGCTGCTGTAGGTTTGCTCTAGCTCAGATGAGTGCTGGTTCTCTGTCTGGGGTTGTCTCACATCTTCTGTTGTGCCTGTCATGGAGTTCTGATCTAGGGCTTGATAGTTTTGCTCCTCCTGGGCCCCTCGGCTCAAACTCATCAAAGACAGACCACCCAGCATGATGCTGCAGCCCAGTACTACCACAGTACACACAATCTGAAGAGAAAGAGAGAATGAAAGGTGGGTAAGGGGACAAAACAAGTTAATAGACATACACAAAGAAATTGTGACATGCATTTGTGATGTTTTGTATAAACACAGTCAAAAATCCCAACCTACCTGCCCCTTGCCATAGAAGAAGGCGGAGTCCAAGTTGTCACTCATTCTTTGTCCTATCATGAGTAGCCCACCCACAATCAGAAAAGGAATTCTAAGATAACAAAATTAAAACAAACAAAAGGAGTTTTCTCCAATGAATTTGCAGTTCTGCCGTATAATTTCCTGTCCGTTTCAAAGCATAATTTAATGTCATTTAATTAAATTTAATTTGTAATGTTTTTTTTTTAAATAATACATACACAAGCATGCACAAGTACACATCTACACATATATACTCACCCCCATCCAGAGATGATGAAAAAGATAGGTTTCACTTTCAAGTTTTCATTTCTGCCCAATAAAGTAAGAGCGAACGCCAAAAGACCTACAACACAGTATCTACACAACTGCTAAACATCGCTACAACTGCACAACACAAAGGAGATGTATTGCAAGCTAAAATCACACAATGAAAATGACCCTTAGCCATAAAGTATTGTTTACTGTAAGTGTGTGATGATTCGTTACCTGTCCACATGTAGGTACTGTAAAGAGATCCATAAAGTAGAGTAAAGGTGAGAATTTGGCCAAACGCGTTCCCCTGCTTCAGAACAAACTTCCACAACATCATTGACACGCATGCTAGTAGCTGCATGAGAGACAAAAAACATACCATACTGAAGAAATATATGTTAGAACAGTTTTCTGGTTGCCAGGACATTGCTTTTACAGCTGCTAAGGTCTTCTGAGTGTTTTTTAGTGATAGGGTATTTAGGGTAGTTACTAGTCAAAAGATCCCTCCACAAGAGATGTGATTTAGGTCCCTCATTCAGTACATGTCTATTGAATAATGAATGTCTGTCTTTGTGCTAGATTATTTACCTGTGCTAAAATCAGATTTGTGGCAAACATTTGCGGCAGCCTCCTGAACTTCTTACTCAGTAGCATGACAGCAAGGGTCCAGCCCTGCAACACACACACACACACACACACACATATTCGGGTAATCCAGATTTTGTAACTCATTGTTTCTAGGATCACATATTTCAGATATTTCTCTGTAGAACCTTTGATTTCTAATCATCTTAATATTCTTATATATGTTCTCTGTGGTTACACATGCATATTAAGCCAGCCAGGACTTTTTAAAGCCAGATCTCTCCCTTTCAAATACAGTATATAGAACATAAAAATGAAACCTTAAAACCTGAATAAAATTGTATAGAATGGAATGAATAGAATAAGTGAACAGAATAGAAAGAGAAACAAGACCAGACAAGACAGAAGAGAATCTGAACAGAATAGTCTAGACTAGACTAGACTAGACTAAAATAGAATAGACAGGAGAAGAAAACATATAGAATACAAAATAATAGAACAGAACAGAAAAAATGACAGAAGAAGGGAACAGAATAGAATAGAAGGAGTGAACCAGGCAAGACAGAAAAGAACCTGAATAGAAAAGACAGAAGAGAATAAAAGTGAATAGAATAGAATAGAAAATAATGAAGTGAACAGAACAGAATAGAAAAGAAGTGAACAGAACAGAATGTTCACTAGATAGAAGTTAATAAAAAAGCATATAATAAAATCTTAAGTAAACCAGAAGAGACAGAAGAATAGAAAAGCACCTGAATAAAATAGAACAGAATAGAAATGACAGAAGAATGGAATGGAACAGAATAGAAGCAGGAGTGAACTGAATAGACAGAAGTGAACAAAAAAGAATAGAATAAAATCTGAAGTAAACCAGAAAATACAGAAGAAGAGAAAAGCACATGAATAGAATAGAATAAGAAATTAACCATAAGAAATAGGACAAGACAAGAAACCCTAAATTAAATAGAACAAAATAGAATAGACAGAATATACAATAATAATATAATATATATGTAATAGATAATAATATGAGAACATAGAATAGAATCAGAAATGAACCAAACGAGACAAAAGGTGAAAGAGACAAGACAAGACAAGACAGAAGAGAACCTAAACAGAATAGAATATAAATAAAATAGATAAAAGAAGTGAACAGAACAGAACCAAATAGAATAGAAATGTAGTGAACCAGAAATGTAGTGAAGAAGAGAAGAGAAGAGAAGAGAAGAGAAGAGAAGAGAAGATATCTATTCTTTTGAATAAGTCTGTAAGCAAATGGTATGCGTTCTTTCACACATCAACCCACACACACTCACCAGGGTTATTAGGCTGACAATGCTGACGTTAAAGCTCACGTCCTGCAGCTCCGTCACCAGGGATGTGGCCTCCATCCATGGAATGGTCAGTAACCATGCCGACACATACATGATGGGTGCTGATAGGAATGTGCTAATGACCATACCAGAGGTCACCTACCACACACAATACACTTTTACTGATCTGTGTTGGCTAAATGTTTATAGCAATAACTGAGTCTATGAGACATTTGAAGGAATTCATTCACCGCTTACCACCTCCAGCTCCATGTTATACTGGGCAGCATATATGGCCACGCTGGGAGCGGTAGGGAAGACTCCGTAAAGGAATGCATAATCAGACAGGCTGGAGTGATTTACAGAGCTGGAATTACCAGCATCCAACAGCTCCACCATGTCCTTACACAACAATGGCATAACTAGTCTGGAAAACAGAAATCACTGAGTCATAAATCTGTCTAAATTGCATGGATCAGTGTTCAAAAAATATATTTAGGCCTATATTCAAGATTTATGCATTATATATATATATATATATATATATATATATACTGTATAAACGTAAGCAACATCATAAACTTAATGTGATGCATGTTTGTCATACATAAAGGGAACAATAATGATATTTATGTAATAATACTAATAAACCAAATAAGTTTTAAATACACAAGAACCAGGTTTATATATTTATATATACAATAAATCAAATAAAACTAAATCACTTTATTTTGGGGACAAATTCTCACTATTAACTAACTATTAACTATGACTTTTGCCTCAATAAACTCCTAATTTGCTGCTTATTAATAGTTAGTAAGGTAGTTGTTAAGTTTAGGTATGGGGCAGGATGAGGGATGTAAAATATGGTCATGCAGAATAAGGCATTAATATTTGCTTTATAAGTACTAATAAACAGATCTTTAACGACTATGCCATAACACCCCACATACATCTCTCTTTCACTCACAGTTTGGCAGTGATAAGCAGGATGAGGGAAACCCCAGTGGCACGTGTGAGTTTACCCATCTGTCCCACCATGCTCAGGCCCAGATAAAAGAGGGCCGCCCCTCCAAAAGAGTTTGCCAGTCCATCAACAAACTCTCCTAGTAAAACAGGCACATGTCCACCAAACAGGAAATGAGAGAGAATTCCAACAATAACCATGAAGATTATTGGGTTCTTCAAAACCTGAAAAAAGGAGGAAGAGTTAGAATGATGTAAAAAAGGACGACATCAACAGAAACGTCTGGATAAAGATAAACACATGCACCTGCAGGATGACTGTAAAGATCACATGCAGTTTGCTGTAGTTGCGGTCACTGGTGTGTCTCCATCTCTGAATCTCACACAAAGCAAAGCCCACAGGGTTCAGAAGCATCAGAGACACAGGCGCCACCAGATATATATACTGCATATACTCTGGGTGCGAACTTCTGTACAGCGCATCCACTGTTTGAAGAAAATGATCTCATGATTATTGAGATAGTATGATTTTTGTATGTGCATGTGTACTTGAGGAGATGAAGTGAGGAGATCCTCACCTATAGGATATCCCAGTGCAAAGTCATTGCTCTGAGTGGCAAAGATAGCAAACAGCCCGGCTTTACTGTATTTGCTCTCAGGATTTGCCACCAACAGCGTCAGCACACAAATTAGTAAGAACACACACACTTTTGCGATCAAAACGCTCCATAGAAAAGACCAGACGACATGCTGAAACTGCAGCTGCACCATGTTCTTGAAGAGCAACGCAGGAAGTGCGAAACATGACACAAAATTTCCCAGGCCTTTGACTTGTCCCACGCTGATGATGTCACTGCGGCCCGCCACATAGCCGCAGAGGATGATGCCAAAGCACTCCAGCAGAGCCGGGAAAAGTTTGTCGATAGACATGGCCGGTGCTCCAAGAGGGCTGTGAGTGATGTTGAGGCCATGAATGGTGACATACTGGCCCTCCATGATGACGAGCTTGACAGGGACCACTGAGAGATGATCTAACGGTGCAAATCAGGAAGCTAGGAATAAATAAAAAAACAGACTGAGGGGAAAAAAAACTCTGTGAGAGGCAAAGTCAGGGCACAACAAAAGAACTGCTGCTCTATATGCCACTGTTTTCAAGCAAAAGTGTGTTTATGAATTTGTAGCTGCCAAGGAATTTACAGCTATAAATTATAAAATACATTATATTAATATATAAGATAATAAACAAAATTGTATTGTTGTAACTTGTTTTTACAATAAAAAAGAATACTGACCTAATTCAAATAAAGCAACATATAAAATTCAAGATAAATAGCTAAATCAGAAATATATAAATAAATATATATATATACAGACACACACACACATACACACACACACACACACACACACACAAATAATAAATAAAATTGCACTGAAATTATAAAGAACATGCTTACAAAATACATTAAAGTTGTCTACTGAAAATGCAAGAAGAGCTTAAAAAGAACTGAATACTGAAATGCGTTATTTTAATGAAAGGACAAATCCAGCTTCACTTGCATATTTATTTAGAAAACAACATATTTGGCACACCAGAATAGCAGAAGACTGTTTGTTATAAAGTAAATACACAAATGAAACAACATAATATGTTGTATGAAACTGAAATGTGCATCTACATGCACAAAGAAAATATCTAAAGTACCACATTAAGCATCGGGTCACACAACACTGTCAGTGACGTGTGCAAACAGAACATAAATCAGAGGCCTTTAGTATTACTAATAATGTTGGTGGCAAATATTGTTTCTTTTTGGCTGTGCAATCATCTCTCTTCTCTCTAATAAATTCAAGATGCTTCAGATGTTATGCTACATTGCATATATCACTGTAATTTTCCTTTTTAATGCATCATTAAAATGCCTTTGTAATTCATCTCTTTATGTAAACAAACATAAGGCAGCATAAACCAAGCCATACAAACTGTACTATAATATTATAATATTCATATATATATAATAATATAATAATACAGTGGTATATTATTTGAAGTCTTAAAATAAATGAACAAAGATGTTATTTATTATGATAAACAAGGCCATTCAATGCAGTTAATCAGCTACATTTGTCATCTGTTCTACAAACGTTTCAGTCTTACCTTGCGAAAATAACAACAGAAATATGACTGTTGTCGATGACGTACCATGTGTTCACGTGTCAAGATGATCGATGCATGGATTGAATATCTTGTTGAAAAAGAAAAACACACCCGAAACATGCATGCTTTCACTCTGCTCACAGCATCTCCAGCGCTTCGGCACTCCGTTATTTTCAATTCAATGTCAAATCAATTGAATGACTGACGCGTGAGCCCGCCTATGTCGTTGCAAACCCCGCCTTATTTCGTCTGGTGATGTCGCTGATTGGTGGAAATGTAGACTATATGCTGATATTCATGGAACATTCTCAAGTGATTGGCCAGAGTCATGCGCGCTAGTGGATGGGCGTCATCTTGCCTCTAATATTAGCAATGAAGGAATCTGTTGGGAGACTTCCACAGGGCCTTGTTGACCACATACTTTTTTT